CCAGAACAATGACATTTGGTCAAAGGAGAGCAAAGGTGAGATGAACCGCTGGGAGAAGAGAAAGAGGGAGTTGGTCGGGGAGCAGAGCAGAAAGCGGGGTGGGTGCGGGGTGGAGGGAGGGACACGGACTGCGGGGGGAGCAGTCCTGGAGGGAGGAGGGGCAGGGAGCGGGCTGGGCACCAAGGCCCAGCTGGATGTGCCGGTGGGCAGGGAGGGGGGAGCCCAGTAGAAGAGTGGTGCCCCCCAGCCCCCTACCCATTGGCCCCATTCGTCTGGGCAAAAGCCGCTTGCTCACCCTGCAGAGCCCCTCGCAGACGCAGCCCCCCAGTAGCAGTGCTGCCTGTCCCAGGGAAGCCCCCCGCATGAGCTTCCTCCTTCCCCCAGACTCCAGTAGCTCAGGATGGTTTGTGTTTTTTTTTTTACAAATTAAAACTGTAGCTCCCCACCCCCGCAGGTGGGTTTGTAATTTTCTGCGCCAGAATCACTCTGGGGGAGAGAAACCCTCCTGGGAAGAGTCTTTAATAACTTCTGCTGCCCAAGGAATCGGCTGCAGGCCCCTGAAGGCTTAAGGGGAGGGTATGTGCCTTCGGGCCTGGGGGACTCGGGATGGGGGGTGTCGGAGAACGAAGCTACACCCAGCTGAGCCTCATCCCAAGGCAATTCTCTCAGGCCCAGAGCTCCAGTGCCTTAGCCCCTGCTAACCAGGCTGGTACAGGCAGCCCCCAGGGGCTCTCTCCAGCCTCCTGGCTAGGGTACAGAGCAAGGAGACTACCTCCAAAACTGTGCTACCTGTCTGGGCTCTGGACCCTCCCAGGGCCTCAGTGTCCCCACACATAAAACAACAGGGTTGGGCATGTTGACATTCCCAGTCTCTTGTCATTCCAAGCCTCCGAGACACGCTTTCCTGGGCTCTCACTGAGTTTGTTAATTTTTGCAATTGGTGGCAATTTCACATGGAAATCTGGATTCCCAGTAATATGGTGTGCTCATTCCTGCAGAGCAACCATCGGAAAGAACTGGCAGGAGCTACCCCCAGAGACAGGCAGAGCCCCTCCACTTGGCCGCACATCATCCCCACCATCCTGACTTGTCCTGAGTGGGCCTGCCTCACTCCCCAGCCCCCCCCCGCTGTGTGTGTGTGTGTGTGTGTGTGTGTGTGTGTGTGTGTCTGAGCGTGGGTGAGTTTTAGGACATCCCTGCCCTAAAGGGCAGCTGCTGGTGCCCTGGGCTTCCCTCTGTCCCGGGCAGTCACACTGTCTTTCGCAGGCCTGTTGCCATGTACCTGTTTCTCTCTCACTAAATGGGTAAAAACCACAGGCACTGAGGCCCACCCACTTAGGTCCAAATCCCAGCTCTCATTCCTTAGGCCTTACTTGGTCATTTAGCCTCTGAGTCCCATCTGTGACTCGGCGATATAAGAGGCTATGCCTGGTGCCAGGTTGTCCTAGGGGCTAAAACAATGCAAAGACAGTCCTGAGCACCATGCCCAGCACAAAGTGAGCCCTCGATCGTGTGGCACTGTGTGCAACCCTAGCTCAGCTACGTGGTGGATGCTGTTAAACGGAGGGAGCGGTGGAGAGTGGAGACCTGACCCGCAGAGCGGATGTAGTTGCAGAATAGACGTTGCAGGAGGCTCGGACCCACGGGCGATGGGAGGAAAGGCCTCACTTCCGAAGTAAGGGCAGGATGTGGTGCGGGAGTCTCTGAAATCTGGCCACCAGGGTCTTCGGATGTTACGTTGGTGCCACCCTCTGGACGATATGTGCCTCACACCCATCCCTCCATTCACAGGCGGGGAGGACTCTCAGGGGTGTCCGCGGATGCGGCCCAAAACAAAATTGTAAGTTTACTTGCAAACTTTTTTGTGTGTGCTCATCGGTTTTCATTAGCGTTTGTGTATTTAATGTGTGGACCAAGACAAGCCTTCCTCCGGTGTGGCCCAGAAGTGCCAAAAGTTTGGATCCTCTTCACTTACTTGTAGAGTGGGCAAGAGCCTTGCAACTTCTAGGGCCCCAGCCCTTCCTCACCCGGCTGGGGCTAAAACAGCCCAGAACCAGAGAGCAATTGCCCAAGGCCACAAGCTCCTAGATGAGCTCCATTTAGAATGCAGAACCAGCCGCTGCTGTCATGAAGGACAACCTCGCCCTTTCGTCTGGGGCCCCAAGATACACAGCTGACCCCCTTTATCCACCAGGGATCCCTTCCAAGACCCCTAGAGAAAGCCCGAAACCATGGGTGGTAGTGAACCCAATTTATACTATTTTTTTCTTCGATTAGGCATATACATACCGATGATGAAGTTTCATTTGTATGTTGGGCACAGTAAGAGATCAACAACACTAGTAATGAAATAGAACAAGTACAACAATCTACTGTGATCCAAGTGATGCACGTGCAGCCGGTCTTCCTCTGGTAGCCGACCTGGTAACGGAGACAGCTGCTAGGTGACTCACAGCATGAACTTGCTGGACAAAGGGATGATTCGCGTGCCCGGAGGCATGAAGCAGACAGCACAAGGTTTCATCGAGAGGCCCGGAGCAGTGTGCAATTTAAAACTTATGAATTGTTTATTTCTGTAATTTTCTGCTTAAAATTTCCAGACCGGTAACTACAGGTAACTGGAACCACAGGAAGCAAAACCACCGATAAGGGGAACTGCTGCACAAAAGCGTACTTTCTTTCTTTTTAAAGGTTTTATTTATTTATTTTTAGACAGAGGGAAGGAGAGGGAGAGAAACATCGATGTGTGGTTGCCTCTTGCATGCCCCCTACTGGGGACCTGGCCTACAACCCCGGGCATGTATCCTGACTGGGAATCGAACCAGCGACCCTTTGGTTCGCAGGTGGGCACTCAGTCCATTAAGCCACACCAGCCAGGGCCAAGAGTGTGCTTTGGTGTGCTTGAGCTCTGCTGGCTCTTAGGAGGATTTCTCCCAGGAGTAGACTCTGTGACAAGGAAAGAATGCAGGCAGTTTACTCGAAAGTTGAACTTCAAAAGCACCACTGGGGGGTGGGGGGGAGTGAGATAGGGAAGGGAAGGGAGCCAATGCAGAGGGGCGGCTGGGGCTCGATCGCTCCGGGGAACCCAGGAGACAGTACAGATTGGTCCTCCGATCTGTCACTCCCACAGGCAAAAAGGCTGGGCCACTTACCCTCCGACTTCCAGTCCCAGTTGGTTGAGAGTGTTCCGGGTGATTACCTCCCCCAAGTGTAGCTTACCTGCCCCACACCTGGACCAAGCATGTTTTCAAGGCCAGAGGAAAGTGACCCCAAGTGCTGGCAATAGGAAACCAACTGTTTATCTAGAAATCTAATTGTCAAGGGTGATAGTTCTCAAAGTGTGGTCCCTGCAGCAGCAGCCTCACCCGGGAAACTAGTTAGAAATGCGAATTCTTGAGCACTGTCCCAGACCCATGTGGTCAGAAACACTGGCCATGGGGCCCAGCAATCTCTCTGCTGGTTCCAATCCACACTCGAGACTGAGAGCCTCTGACCTGGCGGAAAACAGAGGAGGCACCCACCGCAGCTGCCACGGGCGCTGTCTGCCTTCACCAGATGAGGAAATGGAGCCGATAAAAGATGAAATGTGACCCACAGATGACAGGTAGCAGAGGGGTGGGTCTTTTGTCTCTTTCCACCGTACTGCCCTGCACGGAGGTGAGTACTGCCAGCATTTGGACCCTCAGTAGGGGGGAGGGTGAGGCCCTCGGGTGCCCCTCCCCACCCCACCTCACCACCACTTTGCTCCACTTTCTAAACTCAATACCTCCACCTGGTGCATCCAAATGGTTCTCGAAGCTCTTCCGGGAAGCCTGCCAAGCCAGGTGCACCTCTCCTGACTCCCAACTGTCCTCACAGCCTCCATCGGGGACAAGCCCTCTCTGCCCTCCCCCCTCCAGTCAATAGGACACATCATCGGGGAAATCCAAAGCAGCTTCTTGTGGAGAGTGGGGGGAGGGGCTGCGATCCCTGGGTTAAACCAGCCCGGCTCCATCCATGCGAGGAATCTCAATCTTCATGCCAGGTCTTTGCATGGCTCTTCCTTCTCCCCTTGTCCTAAAACCTTCCTCCCCTCCCCTCTCTTCCCCTCTGCTCCTACTCCATCTGCTGCTCCTCCTGGCTAGGCGCCCCCTCAGTTGGCACAGCAAGAAAAGAGAACAGGATGGTTATTTTTATCCTAAGATACTGCTGGGGGGGAAGGGGGTGCCATCTGACCGAGAAGCAGCAGCTTCTGCAGCAGTTGGGAGGTCAGGAGGAGGTGGGAGGCCCAAGATCTCCTCGGGAAGGAGCCACGGATTTGGGTTCCAGAGATCAGGAGGTCTGGGCGAAGCAGCGCAGGACCGGGAGCGGGGAGCCCTAAGTGGCACTGGGATGACGAACTGCTGTGTGACCACAGGCAGGTCACTGCACCTCTCTGGGGCCTGTTACCACCTCTGTTGAAGAGGGAGGGGTGCAGGTCCCGCCTGACCCTGAGGCTGTTTTCGTGAACATGAATGAAATACAGAGAACCCTTTGCAAACACGGCACCACGCGTGAGCACACACAGAGGGTGACGGCCTGGGGACACTCTTATTTACCCTCTACCAGCGCCCTACTTCTGGGAGCCGACAGCAAAGCAGGCAGCTTGTGTCACCCGGCATGTCCACCCCCGCTTTTCTTTGTACATGTTGGATGACTTTTTAATTACATAAGCAGTTATGTGAATTCACTCTCCTTTTGCGAGGAAAGAAATGAAGCCTTATGGGAAAGTCAGATCTTCTTTGGCCAGCCCTCCCCCAGAGCCTCCTCCCCACCCCAGACATGACGGCTTGTCCAGCTGTGCATTTTCCGTGTATCTTTGCAGAACCCTGGTTATACTTACACACGTGCATGTATGTTTCTACACACACCCATAGGCGATAGAATATATTATTTGTGGCTATGTGCTTTAAAGAAATTTTTTGTGCCCATCACTCTGCAGCTTGCTTTTTTCCCCCTATGACAGTGTTTTTGAGATCCTGTCGCATAAATATATTACAGTTTTATTTAACCAGTCCCCTGCTGATGAACAGCTAAGTGGCTTCCATTTGTTCGCTGTCACAAACAGCACTGTAATGATATGCATGTAGATGTCCCTTGGGCTTGGAGGAACCACATGGGCACTGAACTGCTGGCTTGGAGGGTTTGATGGGATCACTATTTGGCCACTCCCCCCCCCCGAAAAAAAGTTTTGTTTCCATCTTTCAAAGCAAGCTGGGAGATGGAATAGGCTCCAGGCTGGAGTGGGAGGTTCCTGTCCCAAAGTGAATGTTTCTGAGCCACAGCGGCGCGGGCAGAGGGGCCCTCACATCATCGCAGCTGCAGCTCCAGGCTCCCCGGCTACACGCGTGTTTGTCCAGGCTGCCACGCTCCTGCGCACACACGGCCTCACAGTCTCTCCTGCACCGAGATGCGGCTCTCTTTGCCATCCTCCTGCGTGACCGGCTGGCACCCGTGTAAGGTCTCCTGCACCGGATGGTTGGGGAGGAGGCCAGGAAAATCATCCATCTCCACAGGATCTTGCCCTTTGCCCTTAGGATGGAAGGCCTGGTGAGTCACAGGAGGAGGTTACCCCCAGTAACACCTCTGAGGAGCCCTTCCCTGCAGGGGGGTCCTTCCCAAGCCCCTTCCCCTTTCCCAAATCAGGGCCGATTCCATGGGTGCCTCCTGCCCCCTGCTGGCCACACTGAGGGTGTCGAGAAGCTTCCAGTGGGTTCAAGGAGCTGCCCCTCCAGTCTGGCCCGGGGTTCCTGCACCAAGGCCCCAAAGTGGTACCCCACACACTGAATGCTGGGAAAGACCAGCCAATGACACCATTAACATTGACAGTGGCACCTGGACAGCTCTGTGGAGAGGTGAGCTGTGAGGATGCTAAAGGTTGGCCCTGAGGGAGTTTGTGGGTGGAGCCCTGGAGCACATGGCTGGAGGCGGGGGCAGTGGCCAGTTCCGTGGCCGCCACATTGACCACAGGGCAGGCCCTGGATCAGTTTTACTGCCATGCAGTAAACAGTGAGTCTATCTTCTGTCCAGTTTGCCCAAACTCAGAGGCGGTTCCCAGGGGCAACCTACCTTGGTGTTTGCCTCCTCGGCCACCTTTTCTAGAGAGAAAAAGTAAAGCGGTGGGGAGTCAATGAGACTAGATCAGGAAAGAGGTAGCCAGGTCCCCTCTACCTTCTCCCCGCCTGCCTCCCTCATCACCTCCCACCTGGGGACTCACTGATGCAGGCGTACACCAACAGGACAGTTAGCAGGACCGCCATGAGGACGGGCACCACCACCAGGGCTCTCATCCGGTCCTGGGAATCTGAAGAAATCACAATTTCAGCGACAGCTCGCTCCCCCCTGCCCAAAGCCGCTGCACCTTAACCAGACTCTGAAATCCCTCCATGTCTGAGCTCAGCAACAGCAGGAGTTCCAAACAGGGGGCCCTGATAAAACATGGCCAGCAGGTGTCTTCGGTATAATCAGCACATTCTTTTAAATCTTTATAAACATTTTCATTGGGGGAGGAGATTGCCTATTGAAAATGTAGGCGTCTGATTTCTCTGAGAAGCGTGAAGATGTAGCCCCAGTGGGCCAGCAGCCCGGGTCTTCACAGGCCAGGACGGAGAGGTGCTGGGCATCTCCACCGCTCGCCACACTCCCCGGCCCTCCCTACCCTCTGCCCAGTCCTCAGGTCCAGCATCATTTACATCTGCACTCTCGCCTTTGTTATAGGAGAACAGAGGGGGAATTCAAGTATGTCTTGTACCCGAGTCTCCATTCCAAAGGGGAAGATGAAAAACCAGACGGAGAGACCAAGAGGCTGGGGGCTGGGGTAAGGCATATGCCCAGGACAAAACTTAAGGGGGCGCCAAAAGACTCAGTAATCAAGGTAAGTCATATTTGAATGTCATGGTTTAAATAATGAAATCATCATATTAAGGCCTGCAGGCTGGCTGCGTGTTTTTTAAATAAAGTGTTCCCGGATCCAGGGCCAGGGTTAGGCTGAGGCAGGTTAGGCGGGGATGTGCAGGGCTGGATCACGTCTTTAGTTAAAATGTTGTATTTTGTTCTTGATGGGTTATTTTTTGCATTGATTTGGATTCTTTTTTAAATGTTGCACCAAGATGTTATCTCGATGTTACCTGCTTTTTTCTGGCACCCCTTTAAATAGGTGCCCAGGGCCAGGGCGTGGCTCACCTTGCTCCAGCCCCAGCCACTCCAAAAGGAAAATGAAGGTTAAGAAAAAGCAAAGAGAGCACTTTTCTCGCCTCTGACCTTTGTTGCTCATTAACGCCACCTGCCTAAGCCCTGTAGTTATTCGAATCTGTGGCCTGGGCTGGAGACCAACTTCCTCACTGTGAAATCAAAATTGAGGCCCCTGAAAGAGCACCGTAAGTGCAGGGGGCGCAGAAGAGCTTTGACAGAGCACTTTCAAAGTACAAGAGCCCATGCCTCATGCTTACACAACCTACTAAGGGAGGTGCTGTGATCATCCCATTTTACAGACGAAGAAGTCGAGGCTGCAGAGGGGAGATGATTTGCCCAGGCTACACCCCTAAGTGGCAGAGCTGAGATGCCATAACTCCAAACCGCCTCCTCCTCTTGCTCCACCTCCCACCCATTGTGTCTATGTGCCTCAGTCTCCCCCTTCAGTTCCCTACCTTCCCAGCCTGCTGCCAGGACTCATTCCCCAGGACTCACCACAGAGGACATCGGTCTTGTTAGTCCCTGCTCGCCGCTCCACCAGGCCTTTGATCTCACAACTGTGTTCACACACATGTGCACACATACAGAGAGAGAGAAAAAAAAAACATTAAGTTTCCCCAGCCATAAGATTTCCAACCCCAGAGGGAGAGACCATCGACCACCACCAAGTCCAGGTTCACTGAGCACGTATTATGTGCACCCTCGCTTGCTCATTATGATGTTGACTCTGTGCTTCTGGAACTCATGAGTGCAGAGAAAAGCTTATTACACATCTTGAAGGGGGGATAACAGGAGAGTCTCTAATGAGTGCCAAGCGTTGTGATATGGGCTCAGGTGAGCTGGGAGCTGTTCCAAGAAGAGATGAAATCCTCAATAGCAGGAATGGAGGAGTGATCTGTTTGGTTTAAAGCAGGGCTTCTGAACCTCAGCACTACTGACGCTTTGGGCCACATAACTCTGTCCTGTGCACTGTAAGATGTCTAGCAGCATCCCTGGCCTCTACCCACTAGGTATCAGTGGCATCACCCTTCCCAGTGTGGTCTCCAGATATTGTCATATGTCCCCTGGGGGACAAAATTGCTCAGTTGAGAACCTCTGGCTTAAGGGACATCCAGAAAGACCTCCCCGGGGAAGTTAGGGCTGAGTGGGCCCTGAAGACCATAAACTTCAGAGCAGGGGCATCTGCCTGCGAAGCAGGACAGTGTGATACAGAGATTAGGGCGGTGATGTGCCAGGGGGCATCAGGGAACCTCGGAAAGTTGGGTTTTTAGAACCAGATCACTGATAATTAGCCACGAAGCTTTTGACTGGACCCAACTGGTGAGTCCCATCCATATGCAATCAGATGTCCAAATAGTGAGAGGACTCTGTTGGCCAAAGAGCTCACAGGAGGAGAAATCACAGGAGGGCAGCCGGCCAGAGGCCTTTGCAAGAGTCCAGATATGAGAAGACCCAGTCCACTGTGGTCCCAGGAGGACCGGTGAGGAGCGGTCAGAGAAGGACGTCACAGAGAAAAACATCTAAAATGGGGGAGAGGGAAGCTTCCAAGAGAACACGTACATGAGCAGAGTCGTACATGAGAAGAGTGCTTACGAGCTCACAAAACATGTTCACATGCCTCCTCCTCAAACCTCGTGAGACAAAGGTCATTCCCTTTTCCAGAGGGTCCCACACCTGCACAGGGCCACACGCTCTCTGGGCCGCAGGGAGGTTGGAACCCAGTGCTCTGATCCTGCTGCCCCAACCTGCCGCCAGGCAGCAATCAACATTTATCGCTAACAATTTACTGAGCACCTACTATGTTCTGGGCACTGTTCTAGGCATAAGGGGTGCATCAGTGGGAGGGGGAAAAAACAAGTCTCTAAATTTAAGGAGTTTGCGGTAAACAACAAAGTATGTATGACATGCTGTGATTTGTGTGGGCAATATGTGTTTGCACATGCAGATGTGTGTGTTGTATGTTGGTCTCTGAAAGAGCACACAGGGAATGGTATGTTTGCCTCCAGGGAGAAATGGGTGGCTGAGGGATGGGGATGAAGAGGAGACGGATTACTGCAGATCCCTGTGTGCCTGTCTGACCCATTTTTTAAAAAATTAAATGTGAACAGTCATGGGACATGCATAAAGGGCATTCCAGGCAAAGAGCTTGATGAAAGAGACTGGTGGTGTGCTGAGGGGATTGCCACGTAGCAGGCGTGGGAAGAGGTCAGGACACGGAGCTGAAAGGTCGGAGCCTGCAAAAGAGTGCGGGTTTTGTCCCAAAGGCCCGGAAAGCCGTGAAGGATGTTAACCAGGGAGGGGTACGATCCAAAATGAGCTGCAGAAAACTCGCTTTGGTGAGTACATGGAGACCCGGATGACGGGGAAAGACTAAATGTGGGGGCATCAGTGAGGAGGCTGAGGCATCACCCAGACCGAGGTGCTGAGGCCCAAGCTAAAGTGGCAACACCGAGACAGTGGGAAGGAGGAGTCCCCAGACACCTAGAAGGCAAGGTGGACAAGACCTGGTAGCTGATCTGGGGGTGGAGGTGAGGTGGGCGACCAGAGGACAAGTCCCAAAAGCATGGTGGTGGCTTTCACAGAGGACGAGAGGAACAGGAAGGCGAGGCCATTTGGTGCCTGTGGGTCATCTGCATGGAAGTGTCCCCTCGGCAGTTGGATATGACAGCCCGGGACCCAGGAGACAAATCTAGACAAGGGATGTTGGTTGAGAATCACCTGAGAGGGATGGTAGCTTGAAGCCATGGATGTGGACGAGACGGTCCAGGGGAGGCAGCAACGTGATTGAACAGCACAGCAAAACGAAGGCCTCGGAAAAACAGTTACAGAGGAGAGGGGAGGAGTGCAGGAGGGGAGTAGGAGAGGTGTCACAATGCGCCCAAGACAAGAGAGTTTCAGGAAAGACAGAGAGATCAACAGCATCTATTACCACCAAGAGACAGCAGACAAGAAAATGCTAAGAAGTGCCCATCTGGTTGGTTGTCCCCAAAGTCACATGTTTTACAAGCACATGAGTGTGTGTGGACATGGGGAGCTGGGGCTGGAGGGCAGGTGGCCAGATATAATGGAAGGGGACCCCATTGCCCTCTGGGGGCAGGCAACACAAGGGATGAGCTCTCATACCTTGCCCAAGGATGACATTTCTCAAAAGCAGATGACACATTGGAGAAAAAACCAACTGGGCAGGGTTCGCAGATGGTATCAGAGACTTGTGTAGCTGGGAGGGAGAAGGAAGCATTAATCATCACCGTAGACCACTGGTCTGGCTCTCCAGAGAACCTGTGGACAGGCAGGCCAAGATCTTTCTGCCGTAAGCCTTCTTGCCCCAGCGCTCAGCCTCCCCCAACTGCTCCAGCCCCTAGGAAGGGTTCTCCCACGACCCTCCCGAGGCAGATACCATGGCAGGAGGCAGAATGAGAGAGGTCCGCTTCCCAATCCCTCTAGGGGACATACTGATGTTTGTAGCCTGGAGTCTGCATCCCCTCCACCTCCGGGGCTGGAGGGAATCACTTCTCAAGGGTGCCCATGGCCCAGCCCCTTGCCTTCCGCCCTCGGCTCCTCTCTCCAGCCTCTAGAGCTAATTCTCAGGCCACTTACCGATCTGCTTGACCCCAAAGCCAGGAGGACAGGGGCTGTGCGGGGCGCAGCTGTCGCAGTTGTCATTGACACAGTGTTGGCCTTCATGACACATGCAAACCGTGTCTGTTTTCGTGGTGCCCTCCGTCTGCACCTGGAGTCCTAGGTCTGTGCGGAGATGGGCAGGAAGGATGGGAACCCCTTGCTGGCCACTCTCAGGGCCCCACTCCTCACACTTCCTGCTCTACTTTGTTCTTAGGCCGTCTTCCGAGCCAGGATAGCTATCCACTTACTTAACAACCAGTACAACCCAGACTCCAACCAATCAAAACAGACCCTGGCTATTAAAAAACAAAACAGAATGGCTGCACTGTCAAGAATGCGCTGGAATATCAGCCCAGCTCCCAAGCTCCCCTTCCCCAGCAGCCCACGCACTGGGGTCGCAGTATTTGTGTGGATGACAGTATCTCTCGTTGTTCGGGGTCTCCAGGAATTCGCCTCTTCCACAAGGATGACATACTGGGAGCATGGTGTCTGTGCAATCCTGGACCAGTTTGTCTCCTGGAAAAAGCATCAGGAAATGAGGCCGCTCCAACCAACCCAGTGAATCAGACAAGTACCAAAAACTCATCAGGCAGGGCTTTGGGGCAGAGGATTCAAAGGTAACAGTCTCAGACCCTTCCAGGCTTCATGGTCAAGTGCAGGGGGTGGGCAGGGCAGATATAGGAACCCTAGTCCTGGGTAGGCAGAGAGGGAACCCAGAACGTTATCACAGCAGGTTGTGAGTAGGAAATCCCGGGGGTCATTTAAGACTCAAGTCTACAGATGACACATGGACGTGCATCTGCCAGCAAAGCAAGAGGGGTCCCACAGTGGGGCTGGAGGGTCGGCGTCTCACCTGGCGGGCACATATTACAGCACTGGCTGTTTACTAGGTATTGGTTTTCTCTGCATACATTGGGTGGTTCTGGGTGGACCTAAAAACAGAATTGGGCAATTTGAAGGGATCTTGAAATCTCTGCTGCAGCCTCCTTGGCGGGAAGGTGAAAATCAGCTGGGACAGGGGTTAGAATGGAAGTGGAAGTTTAAAGGAGAGAAAAATGCAGCCTGCCCATTACTTGGTGTGTTTCTTTCTAACTAAACCACCAGCTGATATGATTCTCACCCAGAGAATCATTCTGGTATTTTAGAAAGTGACTGTACTGCAACCCCATAATAGTCTCTGAATTAAACGGATCTTCCTGTGTGACTACTGAGTCTTTCCTCCTCACTAAGATTCAAAAGCACACGAGGACCCCAGCACCCTCCCCTCCCCCCCGAGTCTTGCCGCTGGCTGACTTTGGCTGGTCCTGGTCCTGGTCCTGGTTGGGGCTATATTTAGCACCTGGTCTCTTCCTTCCATTCTTCTGCTCCCCAACCCTTCCCCCCTCCAAGCCTCAACGTGTTTTCTCCCTCCAACCCCTCCCTCACGAGATGCCAGGAAACTGGTGAAGCTGGAAAGCTAAAACCACTCTTTCACTTTACAGATGGTGGGACTCAGGACCGGGGAGGCTGGGTCACCTGCCCAGGGTTTCACTGTGAGAGTCACCAAGTGAGAAGTCAGATCTCAACATTCTCCCTCCCTCTCTCCATCAACTTGGGTCTCACCTGCATTTTTACTACATCCAGGTACCACCCATGCTGCTCACTACTTCTCACTAAATTTAAATACATTTCTTTTCCATGTAAATGTAACACTTGCGTCACTGCCATGAGAGGAGAACCAGTCTCACTTCTCGTAAATAAAAGGTGACCCTAAAAATAAATTCAGCAGCAATAAAACAGAGTTATGAACCCCCAACCAGTTGCTTTGCTCGACAATAGCCCTCCATCCGGGTCTGCTCTTAATTTTTGTTGTAAAAGGAGAAGTAGTAAGCACTTGAGAGGTATAAAATACATTCTAGCTCCAGAGACTTCTTCCTTGAAGAAAAACCAGAAGGACTTTAAACAGAACTGTAAAGTGAATGTCTGTTGGTTAGTTCTGTGTGTGTGCCCCCCACAATCATTCTACATTTGGGGAACAGCCAGTGAAAGCAGCACGGGTTTGAGAGACAAACAGCTTAAGGCTCCAACCTTGACTTTGTAACTCTTACTAGTTATGTTGTTTCTCTTAGTTTTAGTTTCCACCTCTCTCCGGCAGGAGCGACAATACCTGCCCCTCAGATCAGGTCTGAAGATGAGAAAGAATGTACATCTGTAGCCTGGCACAGTGTCTAGAACATTCCCTGGCAGTTTTAATGTTGATACGTGTACGAGTATCTGCTTGGATGCCCCACACCCTGGTTAACTAGCTCACTGGTGGCCCTCATTCAGCCATGATGTACAGAAACTCATCTTACCCCAAATGGGGAAGGAAGTGGAAAAGGCTGCTGCCCCATCATGACAGCATGCATCCTGTGACTGTCCTCCCTGCAGCCCTGGGGACCACCCCGCCACACTCCCAGGGCAGTGAAAGCCCTTTTGGCCATTTTCAAACACAGGGGAAGCGTAACTCCTCCTCTGAAGGTTCGTCACCCCCCAGTTCCCACTCCATAGCTCTGGTCCTTCTGAGACAAAGGAGTTCAAGACCAAAGCTTGGAGACTCTCACCATCTGAGAGGTAGGCTCAGGAACCAGGCAGGTGGACATTTATACCCAAGTTCCACCTAGCCATGAGAATTTTGGCAGGACATGTCCTCTCTCTGGGCTTCAGTGTGCTCATCTGTATAATGGGGAGTTGAAGGAAAACAGACGGAGAATTCATGGAAAGCACTTCCTCAGAGCCTGAAAAACAGGAAACTCTCAATAAAGAGCTTCTGCTGTTGTTGCCACAGCCCAGTCCTACCTGGAGCCAAAAATGTGAGCCTGCTCTTGAGAAGCCCAAATCACCCTTCACCCTCCCATCCCTAGCTCTTCCTCCACCCCCTCCTACAAGAATGCTCCTCTTTCCAGCTCCACCCCCCTCCTGTCTCCTTTCTCCCTAAGTGTCATTGCTCAGAGTGAAACTGAAAGTTCTGGGACCAAAGTAGCTTCCCCACAGATTCTCTTCCCTTGCTACCTACTCCATGGGTGATTCCGGCTCAGACTTCACACCAGAAACTACAGCCCTTGAAAGCAGGGGGTCACCAGAGGGTTTGGAATGAGAGAGTAAGGTACTTGGGGGGGATTCCCAGCCTCCAGAATGAGGAACTACAAAAATACATTTAAACAAAAAGTGAGACAAGTGTGGGCTTCTGAAAATCCCGGAGACATGCTTGACTGGGCATCTCTGAGCCCTTCTGATTGTGCCGGGAGAAACCCTTTCTTGGGTCCCATGGACTGTTCATCTGCCCCAGAGGTTCCCCAAGTCGTCTTAAATTCAGAACACAGAGACATACAGCTTTGAGTGTTCCTCCTAGGTTGCATGACCCCTTGTTCCCACAAGATGCCCTGGAAGAAGGCAGCCTCTGCTGGCAAGGAGATAACCAGTCTCAGAGGCTGGCATCTGTCCACATGAGTAAGGGACAGGAAACAAGCCAGACCCGCCGCTTCCCTTGTCCCGCCTCCCTTCCCACTGCTCCTAGGCCAGCCTCGCAGGCAAACCCAGACGCCAGCCCTTTGGCCAGATGAAGCCTTGAGGCTCCCCAAACCCCAACCCCGTCCACGCTGTCCAGGCACTTTCCCCACAGTGTCCCCACTTCGCACCCTCTGTGGACTACCTGGAACCCCAACCTGGGGGGAGAGAGAGGCAGCCCACCTCATTCAGCCAGGACCCCGGGGTTCCTTACCCAGCTTCTACCCACCGCTTCTGTCCCCAGCAAAATCAAGCTAGAAAGGTCCCTCCCCCCAAGTATTGCTTCCCTTCCCACTCCCCTCTCTCAAATCCCAAATTCCCCCGTAGGGTCGGAGCAGAAGCTCAACTCACGGCGGTCAACAAGAAGCCCACGAGGAGACTCTGCCGAGGGAGAAGAACCATGGCGAGGTAAGAAGCAGGCGGAGGGAAGCGGCTCAGCGTAGGGGTCTCTAGTAACTCCCAGGCTCCAGCCCCAGGCCGCGCCCATGGAAGGGGTGTGGTCTTCGGTGACCAATCGTGGCCAGCCTCTCTGGGGTGGGCGGAGTTCCGGGCCACCAGCTGCCAGGGATTCCCCCGGGATGTTCCCTGGAGTCTAAATTCTCCAACTCAGTTTAAGGACGCGCTGCAAAGGGGGGTGAGGTTCCTGGGAAGAGCTTTTCCTCCTTAGCCTCGGGAACTACAAAGGCTAGTCTGAAGAGAGGAAGGAACCAGCCGACTTCCCGGGGAAGAGGGTGGGTGGCGAAGGAAGGGAAGAAAGATCCCCACGGGTGCTGGGAAGACACTACAGGGATGCCCAGGGTTCTCCCCCGCCGCCTGCGGGAATCCCAGCAGAACCGAAAGCGTCCCCATCGAAAGTGGAGAGGCCTGAGAAAGTTCCCCGCATCCCAGAGAACGGGAAGGCCACAGCTGGGCTGTGGGGAGGAGGGCAATTTCCCAACTGAGTTTCTCTCTCTTTCGAAGGAAATTCCCTCCTGAGCGTACAGCGTCCTAGCCTCGCCTCCGTCCACCCATGCACCCAGGCATCCATGCGCCACGCCCTCGCCACCAGATTCTATTCCATACCAGTTTCCATCCATCACTAAGCGCTTAGAGCAGACAGCCCTTTGCTCTAAGTGTTTAGATCTTAGGGCCCCTTGAGAATCGTAGGAGACTCAGACCCTCTTGAGAACTGCAGGAACACACACACCCTTGTACCTGTCTTTCCCAGGTCCTGGCCCTCCAAGCCTTTCTGGAACCAGTGTTAACATTCTCTGCCCTGCGGCCCATGGCCAACACCCTGACCCCTGGGGTCCTGTCCAGGTTCTACCACTGATGAGCTGAAATTCCTTGACTGAAATTTTCCCCCAGTGAAACGAAGAATCTGAGCTACACGGTGGTCGGGTGGCTCTGAATTTCTGGGCTAGGCCAAAAGGTCAAGGTGTGCAGAGCTGGGAGGGTGGAAGAGGAGGGGCTGCTCACCCCACCCTCCTGGCTTCTGACGCAGAGGGCCACCTCTGGAATCCATGCCCTCTTTTTCGTCACCTCCACTGCTACCCGAATTCAGAGGCTCATCACCGTTCACTGGGGCTGTCCCAACAATCTCACTTACTCAATAAGTATCATTGAGCCCCTACTCTATGCCAGACAACTCTAACATTCTCTCTCTCTCTTTCCCTCTAATTCATACTGCAGTTACCTTTATAAATCTGATCGGGACACTCCACTACCTAAAAATTGTCAAAACCCCTCTGGGCTCCCCTAATGCCCTCGGGATAGCTGCAGCTCCTGCTTGAAGAGGGAGCCCTTCTTCACTCAGTCCCAGCCTGTCTCCCCACCCGCTCCCTGCATGTCCTCCCATGTATACTGGCTTCAGCCTTGCTCACCTCTCAATTTTCCAAACACATGATTGTTTTTTCTTACTGTTTTTTTGGACTGTGTCTTGCTGTATTCTTCCTTCCCTTCTTCTTTCTGGAACCAATTTAAATTTTTACCTCCTGTTAAGTCTCCTCCTCACTCTCTGAGACACAAGCACATATTCCGCCCCACCTTACCCCTTCCCTGTGTTCCCACAGCATTAGCGTGCTGGGCTATAACTCTACCTGCCCGGCCACATGTGACTGTGAGCTCCTTAAAGACAGGACTGGATCTGTCCCGGTCTTAGGCACAATTCTGTGGGTAACAGAACACCGGTATATAGTTGCTGAATGAATGAGGGAGGGACTGGGCTCAGTAGCTTATCATTCTAATCACTGCCTCCATGAGGAAAAAAGTGAAAACAGAAACTGCAAAAGATTGGTCATTGCCACACAGACCTCGGGCTGGTAGTCAGATACCAACAGCGGAGGGGCACTTGAAATTGGCTTGCAGAGGACTTCACGAAAGCCACCCAAAGTGGCCCAGGATGAAGAGAACATTAAAGTAGCACTTCCCTTTTTAAGCCACTTCAAAGACACAGGCACGGTTGTAATTCCTTCGGGGAGGTGTGAGGCGAGGGCGTCACTGTGATAACTTCAGCCGATACTTATTCTTTATTTGCTTGATTTCAAAATTGGGCCCTTCATAAAACTGCCTTGGGAAGCAAGTACACAGAATTAAAACATTAATTATGTTATATAAAACATATCAGAGCAGCAATTAAAGCAGCTTAAATTAATGTGTAAAAGAATAAATAGTAGCCTGTGGGTTGCCCCATGTGGTGAAGACCAGATAGGATAAAGGGAAGATATTTTAGTTTACGCGTATCTCGAGGAAATGTGTGCTAGCAGGAACCGGCCCAGAGAAGGCGAAGAATCTTCTTGGCTGGGAAGAGTCTGTTGGAGGAGGAAAGAGAGAAGACGATTTGTGGGGAGGGTGGCAATGTCGCATAGTCCCATCAAAGAGAACTATGGAGAATTCCGTGATGGGAGTAGAGCCAAGGGCAGTAAAAGAGTAGGGGCCCGGGATTTGGGAATCACAGAGAACATGGCCTTCATAGGGGCGTTGGGAGTCATAGGGCCAGGTGAATGGGTAAGAAGTATGCCTGAAGGTCCAGTGCATAGTGACAAAACGGTTGTAATATGCAAACCCCACTGTATTGCTCTCAGATTTGAACAACTCCCCAGAGCCCTCACCCCTTAAGTTTGCAGGGCCCAAGTTCATGGACTCCTGGTCTGCTGTCTGACTGTCCTTTCTGCCTTTATCTTGCTGCTCCAGATGGTGCTGTCACCTCTGCCCTGAAAGCTCTTCTTCTCCACTCTCCTTTTTTTGGACAAAGCCCTTCTCACCCTTCAAGGTTCAGCGCAGGTGCCCCTTCTTTGGAAAGCCCTCTCCAACAGCCATCCCGGGATGTGCGCGCTTCCCCCTCCCCACCTCGTGCTTTCTCAGAACCTGTGGCTGCTTACCTCCGCAAGATGCCAACCCTACCGAACATGTTTCAATTATTCTGTTTACTCGCGAAACCAGTGTACTGAGGCGACTCAACTCGGTGGGGCGTGATAATGAAGCTGCCTCCCCCTAATCTCGGCCTTCAGCCCTGCTGTGTTGACTCTCCCTTTTCCACCCCTTAATGACATCTTGGGCAGATTGCATTACTTTTGGATCACTTTCTGTTGTTAAACCTCCATCCTTGATAGCTTTATTCCCAAACTCAATTTAAATCTCATTTTATCTTCTCCCTTACTCCTCCAAGGGTTGACTTGAGTCGGGTCCCTGCCTGCTTGGATAAAAGAGGGGAGGGAACATGCCCCCTTACTGATATTGAGAGGATGGAGTGGGAATAGCCCTCTGCAATTACCTTCTCCCTCTTGGCCAACCCTGCTCCCCCAGCCAACCCAGAGTGACAAGTGTCCATGTATGGTTTGTCAAGGGGCACGTGAATAAGTTTCTTGGGTCTCTGGCAGGGGACGTGCAGCTCAGCCGTGAGCTCCCTTCCTTGCCCCATCACCTCGGCTCCTGCCACTGGAGAAACCCTCTTGCTCAGCAGTCGGACAGCTTGGTATGATATCAGAAAGCCTGGCTAACTACAGCAGGGTCCACTTGACCTAGAGAAACTTGCGCATCCTGGCCAGCTGCTCCACAGTGACCCCTCTCTCCACCACTCTTCTCCCCTGCTCAGGTAGGCATAGGGGGACACCAGCAAGTCCACTACCAAGTAGACCCCCCCCACACTGGGGAACGGCATCCCAGTATTCTTTCTTGCAGTCACCTTTCAATCTTCATAAGAGACTCACACTTAAATTGGGGAGTATCATCTTCTACCATAACACATAATCCTCAACAAAGCCAGAGAATTCCTCCTTCCCCAGGATTATTAATTAAATGGGCAAAAAAAAAGAAAGTGATGTTTTGGCTAAGGAATTGCCCCTTTTTGGCCAGTTCTTCCCCCTTTAGCAAACCTTTTGGAGGGAAAGTATCCGGCTCCCATTTGCAATGGACGGTATGTAGGGCCTGTTGGCTTTGGTGATGGGCCACAGTGCCAACTCCTAAGTAAGGGGAACTCCCACTCAATAACCTTTGAACTGGGTCATTCCTCATACCTAATGATCCCTGGAAAGAAGAATCTTCATAGCCTGATGCCCACAAAGAGCCCAGAAACAAGCTGAACCTTAAACAACTGTTTGTTGAGTGAAGGTGGGACTATACGAGACTGAAGGGATCTGTCAGGACCCACCGGCCTGTTCCACACTGTCCCGTGTAGCTGTCTATGTCCACCAGATGACCAGGCTCTCTACCTGGCATTCCCCACCCAACTGTGGACAAAAATCTTTCCCTTCAGCTCATCAGAGTTGGGTTGGGCTTTATCAGAGGGAACTAAAAACCTCAGGGAATAACCCAACCAGAAAGTAAGGAATCCCAAGAGCCAGAAAAACTTACGGGTGAAAAGGGAAAAACAGAAGGGTGAGTTAACAAAGTATAGGTCTTCATCTTGCTCCTGAACTAATTGTGATTTGGTTGATCCTGATTCCCAGAGAAGGAGACCTCAGGCTTGGTCCTCAGCCTTCTCGGGCTCTGACGCCTAGTAAAAGAGATGCCTTTGGTTGGGTGAGAGTAATCCAAATCTTTCACCATGCCCTCAAGATCCTGCATGATCTCTGGCTTCTACTGACTTCTCCCTCCACTTACCCACTTGCTTGCTACACCCTAGCCATCCAGATCTCTTGGTTTCCACCTCAAAGCCTTTGTCTGTGCTGCTCCCTCTGCCTGAAATGCACTTCCTCCCACTCTTCATCCACTGGCTCTACTTCCCCATTCAGGTCTCCTGGCCAATGACACCTCCTCAGAGAGGCCCTTTTGGATTACCTTATCTAATGTGAGTTCCTCCACCAATGCACCTTCCCCATGGCTGTCCTCTCGCATAGCTTCTGTTCTAGTCGGAGTTGTCACTGCAGACAAGAAAAGAAAGAGCTGGTGAATTTAAATGCATAGAAGAGAACATTATTGGAAAGGACCAGTTGGCTCATAGAATTGAAAGGAAGGCT